GCCGACGATCCCTCAGTCACATCATCAGCGGTGGCGGCGGTAACCTCCTCCTCTCAGGTCAAAGAGACTCCACCTCCTCTCGTTGCCGTGGTGCCCTCAAACGTAGCTCTGGCCACGCCCCCGCATGCTGCCGTTGTCCCGGTCGTTGTCGCCGCCGCCTCCTCTTCTTCTTCTCTGGGTAACCATGGTAACCAGGTGGCCCCTCCCCCCCGCGGTCTCCAGGCTCGGGTCCCCGGAAGCAGCAGACCGCTCCCCGACAAGCCCTCCCTCGCCTCCTTCTCGCCAGCACCCTCCTCGTCGTCGTCTTCCTCACCGCGGCCTCCCCCGGTCTCCATCTCCCCGCTGACTCCCCCTCGCCAGGAGGAGGAGCCTCAGACCGTGGAGCAGAGAGACAACGCAGGTTTGGACTCTCCTCCTCCTCATCCTCTTTATCCCTTCATCCTATCATCTCTCCATCGGGGCTCTGCCTCTCACTCTGTGCTGACGGGTGAGACTTTCACTCTTCTTCTTTACTCCCTCCATTCTGTCAGATGTACGTTTACAGAAACAACTTTATTGATAACATATGAAAGACAAACAGTGACAGACTTTCTACATAAAAGTACATTTAAGATCAGTTACTGACAGGAAGGAACAACATTACAGAGAACGAATGAACTGAATGATATTCAGTTATACATGTACAGAGAAAATACATTTAGTGAAACTTTATGTATTATTTTATGAGTCCTAACTGCTTCTGAAGGAGAAGATCTTAATCTTTACGTACATGGTGTCACAAACATAAAACAGCCGCTGTGTTGTTTCTTTCTGGTGATGGTACGTCACTTTAATGTGCAAAGAATTGTGGGTCCTAAAGGACGCATTGAACCTTTCCTTAAGATGGCTGCCACTAAAATCCTTCAGTTAGAAAAGAGTGAACTTACCTTCTGCCTCTCTCTGTGCAGACCAGCCAATCAGCGTGGAGACATGCAGAGCTCTGACCAATGAGCTGCAGAGCTGCTTCAAGAGAGCAACACACCTGTACAGGAAGGTGAGTCTGTGCATCCGGTGGGAACCACAATATTAAACAATATACTAATAATAATATATATAATATATAATAAATATATTAGTGCTGCCAACTGACCAAGAGTCAGTGTGAGAGTTAAACTGCGTTCACCGAGCTAGGAGTCAGTAATTGGTTCAGTATACACGTTATAATCAATACAGTAATATCAGGAACAGATTTACACATTATAATCAATACAGTATCAGGAACAGATATACATGCTATAATGAATACAGTAATATCAGGAACAGATTTACACATTATAATCAATACAGTATCAGGAACAGATATACACGTTATAATCAATACAGTAATATCAGGAACAGATATACACGTTATAATCAATACAGTAATTTCAGGAACAGATATACAGATAATCAATACAGTGATATCAGAAACAGATTATAATCAATACAGTGATATCAGAAACAGATATACACATTATAATCAATAACGTAATATCAGAAACAGATTATAATCACTACAATGATATCAGAAATAGATATATAGGTTATAATCAATACAATCTAATACTTTGTTATATTAGGACGTTTTCACATTTTATTATCTGAAATTATTGATTTTGATATTTTTCTATCTTTAAATGTTTGATTATAATTAATTGTTATTATTAACATTTTAATGATATTGATTACTGACATATTCTCACGGTTCCAACGTGCTGGCGGGGTCCGCCTCCATCAGTGACATCTTCAGCAGTGTGTTCTCACCTGTCTCTCCTCCAGGTGAGTGGCTCATCCACCGATGACTCCGCCCCCGACCAGCGTCAGATGGCCATTGTCCTATCAGAGGCCTTCAGAGCCATGAGGGCGGAGCTCGACTGCCTGCCACTCGGAGCGCCGAGCATGCTGGGAGTAGAGCGGGGGTTGGGAGGAGTGGGGGAGGTGAAGACGGCGGCACTGCTGGAGGAGTACTCTCTGCTCCTCCTGCAGGCGGTTCACAGGAGGATCAATACAGAAAACGCAGACTAAACGCAACAACACTCCTCCACCTCCTCAGCTGCTCCTCCTCCTCCTCCTCAGCTCCTCCTCCTCCTCAGCTCTTCCTCCTCAGCTCCTCCTCCTCAGCTCTTCCTCCTCAGCTCATCTTCCTCAGCTCCTCCTCAGCTCTTCCTCCTAAGCTCCTCCTCCTCGGCTCTTCCTCCTCAGCTCTTCCTCCTCAGCTCTTCCTCCTCCTCAGTGTTCATTCCTTCACCATCGTTATCTTCTATGTATTCATCCTTTGTTTCCCCTCTTCTCTCTCTCTCCTCTTCCTTCTTTTCTGTCCATATCCTTCCTCCTCCTCTTCCTCTTCCTCTTCCTCCTCCTGTTCCTCTTCCTCCTCCTCCTCCTCAGATGAAGGACCTGAAGCCATTTTGATTTAGATTCTTTTATTATTTTTTATGCAAGAATCTTAAACGTGGACTCTTTTTACGGAGTTGTTTTTTAAAGATGTTTTTCTGACAGTTTTTTCATTCCCTGAAGTTGTCGGATCGTTTGGATTATTGATCTTTGATTATTGTTGTTAACGTTAGACTGTAGAGACTTCACCAACAGCAATATGAGATGTTTGATGTACATTTTCTTTCCTGAGTTCACTTGAATCTGAAAGGTCACGGTGAGTTTGAGTGTTTGTATTTATTGTCCGACTACTGACCGACTGTCTACACGCCGACCAACATGTTTTTCTCTTAATTCTTAAGTCTTAATGTACATTTTTAGAATTGTCATTAGAGTAACACTTTCAGGGGGTTGTTGGGTTGAAATCTGATTGTTTCTAACATTTTGTTGTAACGCCCACTTTCTCACAAACAATCAGCTCAAAGTTCACTTTCAAATCTTTTCATGTTTTTGCTCAAAATGTAATAAAAATTTTAGACTGATTTTGAGTTTGGAGGTTTTTATGAGAACTTTGTCTTCCAGACTCTCAGAAACTGTTTGATGAATTTTCTTTTACAGCTTTGAAAAATAAAATAAATCACTGACATGAACAAAGCAAAGCCAGCCAGTTCTTTCGTTTCACTCAGACTGCTTCCTTCACTTCGGTTCTGATCACTGAACATGTTCAGTATGAATCTGTTCACTGATTGATCAGAAGACAGGAAGCTGTGCTAACAAATTTACTGTAATATTAAAGCTTCTATATGTAACATTAAACTGTAACTAACAGTGCCACCAGTGGCCGTTCAGTGAACTGCAGTCAGTGTCCTGTTGCATCATCCTGGGCGTCGGCCAACAGTGACAAACACTGAACGCTGTAAAATAACTGACAATCATAATTTAGAATAACGTTAGCTATCAATTTTCCTATATTTTATTTGGACCGTTAATTCTATGCTACTAACTAGCTCACTGTTTACAAATCACGCAGCCAAGATACAGCCAGCCGGACAACCCCAGTTAGCTTAGCTACGGTTAGCTAGCTGGGTTCCCCTGCCTCACATAATTCTTGGCTAGTAGAAAGCTATCATTAGCTTTGTACCGCTACATCATTTATTGTTGGCTAAAATCAGAACTTTTTGTCAGAATACATAAGTTAGTATTATGGATCACGTTAGCTGGGAAAGCTAACATTAGCCAACTGACACATCTACATTAGCCAGCCAGCTGCAAACCAGCCACGCTGAATAATGTTACCCAGCAGTAGCTAGCTAGCACTTCACCTATGTTAGCAACAAAGCTAACGTTGATGTGATGTTGGGTGTCGGTTGTTTGTAGACGACTACAAAACCACTAAATGGACCTCAACATGAAAAGATCTCAGCAACAATTGTTGGTTAGTTTTTGTACGTGATGCTGAAATCCAACTTTGTTCTAAAACAGTTTCCTGTTTCTGTTCACACTCTAACAGAAGTTATTCATTAGTTATTCCTGTTTATTGATGTTTATTAGCCTCAGAGATGTAAAATGACTCATTATTGTCTTCAGAAAGTCCATCAAGTCTCTCGCCCTATCAAAACAAAAGTCTACTCTTTCCATCCCAGTTTGACAACTGAAAGGGTAGTTTATTGCTGAGAGGAAGTCTCACTCTTCCTGTAATCCTGGGACTGTCCTGTCAGAGGGGGAACAGCAGGAACCCGGAGAAGATGCTGAAGTTTCGGGAGTCGTCATAGAGCCGGTAGCTGGCAGGCAGACTGAGACAGACTCTGTCGCCCTCCTCCAGCTGCAGAGCCACGCCACTGGACGAGGAGGCGTAGCCACCGTGGTCGTTCAGGTCCAGGTTGAAGATGATTGGCTGGTTGTTCCTATACAGGTAGAGACCCATGTAACCTTTCAGGTAATCTGCAGCTGTGAAGCTGAAGAAGTAAAGTCCTCTGACAGGAGCTGTGAACACACCTGACAGACACAGAGCAGGATAATGTTAACACACACCTGACAGACACAGAGCAGGGTAAAGTTAGTTCAAATTACTTTACAACTATTTTCTTTGTACCAAACTACACCCACCAGCTATAGCTAACGTTAGCTGTGTCTGTGGCGCTAGTTGAGCTAGCTAACGTTATTCTCAGCCAAGGATGACGCCATCAACAGCAGACTGTTTGTCTCCAGTGTGTCGTCCAACTAGGACACAGCAACTGCAGCCAACGGACAACCAGCACGTATGTTCCAGAGGTAATAACTCTCCGTACCAGCAGGTGGCGTCAGTCTAAAAAACCTCTAGGACTGCCTTCTTTCATTTACGTAATATTACAAAAATTAGACATCCTATCACAGACAGATGCAGAAAAACTAATCCATGCATTTGTTACTT